TTAGCGGCTCTGGCCAGTAGAAACGCCCGGACCTAAAGCGTCGCGATGTCTTCACATATCGCGCGCTTTAGGCACCGCGGGTCGCCGCGTAGGTGGAGGAAGTTTTTGGCGTCGTCCCGTTAAAATACGACGCACTGATATTTAGTTACTATCTCCGTGCCAGCTGACTTGCCCGAACCCCAAGAGATGTGGAAACCGCAAAAAAGGTAGATGCTTAAATATGATTCCAGGACCCCTTTAATGAACAATAGAAAATATCAAGAAAACGGGTAAAATACACGAGGTGAGTTGCACCTACAATTCAGCGCTTCACTTTGTTCTTACAACCGCACCTTCCTTTGCTTTACTCCGTTCGGCATATCTTGGGAAGTGGCGTAGGCTACGGCCCCAGCTGTTGAATAAGCGCTTGGGAGAAAGACACGTCACAACGCAGCTGTGCAACTGTGTAGATTCTGACTCTAGTCTTGGCTGGCCGTGGCTTTTGACGAATGCCGATATATGCTGAAACAAAATGTAGCGTCGCGTCGGCCTTCATTTTTGCTTCAACTTGAGAGGTAATTTTTGCCTCATCTTGAAAAGAAAAGAAACGCGCTGCAGTCTACGCACAGTATAACGCCTTCCAGCCGAGACTTGGTAATGCACGAAACTACTATTTGAGCGGGTGGACAGTAACGGTTCTTGGTTATTTTTTGTTTCGTCTTTACCACATACGTGTCTGCTACGCACCTTTCCAAACAACCATCAATCATCTGCGGGTTGTCATTTTCTGGAGCACCATCAGTTGCCTTGCGTCCCCTTCCCCCTTAAAAAATAGAAAGCGAAGTTGCAGTTTTGAACGTGTTGAGTCTGTGTGGCAAGACCCTCAGCTGCTCGGTCGACTTTCCCAACTGCCAGTTACGAATAAGGGCAGCGTGTGTATCGGGGTGACGCACGCTCCGGCCGTACAATTAATTACTCTAGAATAAGCTGAATTAAACTAGAACCTTTCACAATAGACGGAAGTTTGCTCATTCCGCATTACCAGCACTTTATTTCAATTCAGGGTTCATAACAAGCTAGCGGTGAGTCGATGAATAACAGCTGTATTTTCTGCACGACATTTCACAGTTCGTAAATGATCAGTGGTAGCTAATGCAAGTTGCCTTTTAAAAAACAGCACGACCATGCTATTAAGCTTACGCCCACCGCTACAACACGCAGGAAATACAAATAGATTTGCCGGCTATCCTCATTGAAAAGGCATTCTGTGACTACTTAACCCTAAATTAGAAGTCACAGTTATTTGAAACTCCCTAATGCATAAACCTCTCTAATGCATAACAAAAAAAAAAACAAAAAAAAAAAAACGGCAAACAAAATTACGAAGGAAGTCGAAATGGGAACATATAGCTTGAAACGATAATTTTGGTGCGAACCTCGGATTGACATCGGGCGTTTCGCTGGGAGTTCACTTCTCTGAGTACCGGGAGGCAGTAAGCTTGCGAGAAAAACGTCGACAGCCACTATTGTTTTCCGATTCTTTTCAAGGATGCCGGACGTTCTACCCAGTTTTTCTCGACTCCCAGCGTTGTCATTTTTTCAGGATACGCTTAAAGAGGCGCCGAGGTTTCTTTTATTAAACCGCGTATTTCTAGAAATATAAACTACACCAATGTATTTCCGGTACGAAAAAAAAAAAAAGAAAGTGGCCCGAATTAGATGCAAATACACACAAATAATAAAATTAGTCGAAGAAACAAACAACAGTGCTCTATTCTTAAAACGAAACTAGGAGTCCTCACCCGAGAAAAACGAAAATAAAACGATAACATATATTATATATTGTATATATATTCGAGCCTGTCCCTCGGATAGTTTCCCTGCGTCGACAATACAGTCAGACCTAGAACATGTCGCTTAATTGAGCAGCCGTATCCCCCCTTCCGGATCATCGTCATCCCTCCCCCGGTCCCTCCGCGACAATGGCGTCAGTTCCGCCTCGCCGCAACTCCGGGCGGTGTGACGAGAGCGCAACAACATCCCCCTTTGAACCAGCCGGGAGGGATACGGCATGCCGTGCCGGAATCGGACGTGATCGTCTACAAAAGCGCAGCTCCGCCAACTTCAAGAGAAACATCCCCCACCCGAGGATTCAGACGGCGCGTGAACGGTGTCAAGGGAGTCGTAGCTGCAGCAGTCGTGGTTTTCGGCAGTGTCGAGGCGTTAGAAGCAACGACGTAGCGCGTTAGGTTTTCAGTGGCGTCCTCACGTACTCGTTATAATCAGGAGTAACTGACGAATAAAGTTATTTCGTTAGTATTTCATGTATGGTCTATCAGATTTCGTGCTCGTTAATATTGTTAAGAATTGTCACTCAAAAGAAAGAAGGATACACCAGCTACGTCATTGCATACGCCAGTCATACGCTCACAAAAGCAGAAATAAACTACTCCACAACAGAAAAAGGTCTTGCCATCGTGTGGGCCATCGGGAAATTTAGACCATACTTGTACGGCCGTCATTTTGTCGTGGTCACCGATCACCATGATCTTTGTTGGCTAGCGTCACTGAAAGACCCATCTGGCCTTCTTGGGCGGTAGACGCTACGTCTCCAAGAGTTCGACTACACAGTTCGCTACAAGTCCGGCAAGAAGCATGGTGACACGGACGGCTTATCCCGTTGCCCTCTTCCCGATGAGTCACCAAACACCTTATTTGATGAGGATCCTCTTTGTCTTCAATCGTTAAGCCTAACAAATATGGCCCGCGATCAAGCGTCAGATCCCCGTATCACTCAAATTATCAATCACCTGAACGGATCTCAAATATCTACGAATCGCGCGTTTTCAAGAAAAATTCGGCATTTTTGTGTACGGGACAGTCTTGTATACCGACGCAGTTACCTGCCTCATGGCCAACGTTGGTTACTTTACATTCCCCAACACCTTCGCGGCGAAGTACTGAATTCCATGCATTCAGACGCAACATGTGGCCGTGCCGGCTTCGCAAAAACCTACACTCGAATCTCCCAGCGATACTTCTAGCCCGGACTCTGTCGCAGCGTTCAGCGCTACATGCAAGCATGCGCTGAGTGCCAAAGACGAAAGCGTCCCACGCAAGCGCCATCTAGACAATTACAGCCCTTACCCTGTCCCTCGCGACCCTCCGAACGCGTATGAATTGACCTGATCGGACCTTTGCGCACTTCATCTTCTGGAAATCGCTGGGTTGTAGTTGCAATCGACCACCTCACCCGATATGCTGAGACATCCGCCCTCCCAACTGCGACCGCAGAAGATGTGGCAACCTTCTTTCTAACCAATATACTGCTCCGCCATGGCGCACCACACACACTGCTCAGCGATCGCGGTCGGGTATTTCTTTCCGCTCTAGTTCAAGGACTTCTCGCAGCTTGCAATACCATTCATTCTACAACCACTGCATATCATCCACAGACAAACGGGTTAACTGAAAGACTCAATAGAACCCTTCTCGACATGCTCGCCCTGTATACCGACGCCAACCAAACCAATTGGGACAAGGTTCTGCCATTCATAACTTTCGCCTACAATACTAGCATCCAAGCCACCACCAACTTTTCACCATTTTTCCTCTTGTTCGGCAGGGAAGCCTCGGTTACCCTGGACACAATCTTACCATACCGCTCAGACGCAACTGAAAATCAGACACTTTCAGAAATGGCTTCCTATGCAGAAGAGTGCCGGCAAATCGCGCGTCTGCGAACCATCAACACCCAGGCTGAACAAAAGCGCCGATATGATTCTCGTCATCAGCCAAACAGATTTAATCCCGGAGACTTACTGTGGCTCTGGATCCCACAACGCCAAGTAGGCCTCTCTGAAAAGCTCCTGTATAAATATGACGGACCTTATCGGGTGATATCCCAAACATCCCCAGTGAACTACGTCATGAAAGCTCTTGAGGTTCCCGTGGACCACCGCCATCGTTATCGTGACACCGTTCACGTTGCCAGACTCAAAAAGTACTACCCACCAATCGCAGCTCTGTGATACCCCTATGACGCCAATGTGCCATCCTTCATGTAGAGGGGGAAAATATTAAGAAGATTGACGTTCATACTTCGTCATCGTCTTCAATCACAACCACCGTGATCGTCATCGACTCACGCGGCGCATGCTGGCCGAATCAGTTGGAACCTGGTCCTCAACCCACTCGGTTATACATTAAAAGCAACCTTCCATTATCCATCTAAGAATATTAATTAAATATAGTCATAGTCACGTTTTCGGTCTCTTTAAAGGTCCAACGTGCTATAGGGACCTCACTTAATGCTACAAGATCGATAAACGAAGGAAAAAAATTTAGTAAAATCGCTCTGTAAGTATTCAATTGCCCTCAAAATTCGCAACCGCGGCTCATTGCTGCCGAATCCCGAAATCTAAAAGTAACGTAAACGTAACATTCGTTAGTGCTTTGGAAGTGACAGTAACGATTTTTTGTGACGTTTGCAGGATGATAACGAATCTCAGTAAGGCGTTAATTTTCGGTGAGCTAACGAGTCACGAACGGTTTTTTGGGCGGCGTAGCCAGGAGTTGTTAAGCGCAGACCGCATGGCGCGTTTTTGCTCGCGATTCAGGCGCGTCGGCGTCAAACTGACGTCATTTCCTGCGCGCGGGCGCGCGTTTTCGCGGGAGCGTTCTTTTCTAGCCGACCCAGAACAGGACGCGCGCGCTGAGGCGTCGAAGTGGCTCTCGCCCAATGAGGGTCGGTCGAACTATCACGTGATCCTGCAGAGTACGCTGTTTCGTATTCAGCACATTTCAAAGTGTTCGAAAGCATTTTTATTTTCCATATAAACATTAAAAATGTGTTTCTTTTGGCACACAAACCCGTTTTATTTACATATTTGTTCATTTAATCCTGATTTTGTAGTATTGGCGCGAACATTTACACCGTGTGTTGAGAATTCTGTTATCTGGCAACGCTGATAACGCGCGGCCGGCGGTGCTTGGCTTTGTCTGCATGCGGGTGCCCCCTCGTCCGCTTCCACGCTAGCGTTCATAGCGCGTCGCGTTTTCGCGTGCAGAAAAACGCGCCATGCGGTCTGCGCTTTAAGCGGCGCTGACCGTTTCGCCGAAAGAGCGGAGCAGCGCCGGCGTTCCCGAACGCGTCGACCGCCGCCTCCCTCGCTCTCGCCGTCGGCACAGTCGCTCGGCGGAGCTCAGCTGCGGCGGAAGGGAGAACGCCGCTCCCCCGCCGCCGAAGGATACCCACGCTCTCGTTCGGCGGCGCCAGCACCGACGGCAGCGACATGCGGACGACCGCGTGCTCCGCACGCCTCTTCCGGGAACACGGCTTCGGACCGCGGTGAGTGCCCGAACTCGAACCCGAGTTCACTCTCTCTATCGGCGGTTGGCGCTTCGAATTCCACCCAACCCGGCGCGGGAAAGCGCTCTTTGTAGCGTGCCGATACAGGCGCGACAGGGCATGACATTTCAGCCGTTTTCGGCCGTTAGCAAACTTTTCCGACAAGGGGGAAAAAAAAAAGCGCACTGCTTTCAGACAACGTAGTAAAGTTGGCACCAGGAGTGTAGCCAGGGAGGGGGGCTTGTGGAACATCTGCCCCCCCCCCCCCCCCCCTCCCCCCGAAAAATATTCCTGGCTACGCCACTGGTTGGCACTTCCCCTGCTCGATCTTGTGGAGTCTCTCCTTGTGTAAGTTCTTATGATGTCTGTGTGTATAGTTTCATGCATTATTCATTGCGTACACGTTTCGTAATTATAGTTCATATCTGGTACGTCCAATCTATTCCTTTAGATTGCAGTAGGCGATCCCAGAAAACAGGAAGAAATTCCTCCACTTCATCATATTATCATTGAAATGTCGAATCCTCGAGGCGGTACGGCAAATTTGGCGGCAAGTCATAGAACGGTTCAGGCTCTCCCCGTCGTTTCTGAATTTTTTCGAGAAGCCAATTTTGGAGAAATGCTCGTGAAGCTGGTCTCAGCGTACGTCATTTTCCCGGACAGTTATCGAAATAAGTAACTAAGTATCGCTTACTCGTTACAAGTCCATATAGTACACAAACCATCATCACTGTCATTTCATTTTTTTTATTATCATCAACAGCTAATTGCCTGAATTTTCAAGCACTCTGGAGATCCTACTCGGACGACTCGGGCCATGGAAAAAATGTAATTACTGAACTTGATTTTGAACCTGAGACTGGGGCAGAAAAGAGAACTCAACAGAAGGTAGAAAAGAGGAGGCCCCTTTTTCTACCTTCTGTTGTGTTCTCTTTTCTGCTCCAGTCTCAGGTTTACAATCATGCTCAACTTACACCAGCTCGCCTGCACTCTGACTATTTTTATGTAATTACTATCGTGGAAAAAAAAAGAAGGAAAAGAAACGCGAGTTACTGTTTGTGATTTCCCTCAGTTCAGCTTCACTGAGTACCAAACGCATAAATGTGAATCTAACTAAAGGACAAGCCCGATAATTGGTTCGACTTGACGCTCGTTAATCCTCTTAATAATGCGGCCATCTTTTGCGATACGATATCCATTGAATCGACTGTCCTTGCCTTGTGGGCAACCTGGAGATATCAAGCATTTGGCCCAGGTTGCCTCTCCGACAATCATGAGTGGTCATCTTCACCACGAGGGGTCCAAGGGCAACTGGCCGCGCGAGCGGCGCTCCGCCGGTGATAAAGGGCCGTCGCAGGCGATAGCGGTCATCAAATGTTTACGTGCTGTTGGACCGGTCTGCTGTGTCATTCCCCGAGACGGGTAGCAGCAAGGGAAATCCCACGTGGCATACGCATCCCAGACGTTCTTTTCCGGAGTTCAACTTAGTAGACGCAGAAACCAGCAACTCCTCGCCTACCGGCTGCACCGACGTAACACACGGCCAGAACACGCTGCCCTTGTTTGCCGGGAACGCCAAATATGCCCTCGAAAAGGGGTTTGCTCGCCCCTGTCCGCCAGCCCGCCCTAAGTGAATTACGGATCCACCCTGGAGTGTGTTTGTTTTGCTGACCCCTCGGATACGCTAAGCCGGACGGGAAGAACCGCGAGTAACAACGTTGCTCTTCGGCATCTCTTTATAGCTTCGACCGGCGGCGTGCTTCCCCACTTGCACCTGGCTGCTGCTCGGTCCTGCTACTTTCGATATTCACTTTCTTTTTTCTTTTCTTATTTTTTTATCGCTGGGGCTAAATCCGGTTTTAAGGCTCCTTTCACGTTTCTGCGTCTTACGTTGTTGGTGCTGGGTTCTTGCAGCTTACACGAGCGACACGGTGTATTCGAAGTCGAAACATAATTCATTTGATCGTATCCTAGGGAGGGTAAAGAAACGTTTCCAGCCTAAATGAAACAAACAAAAAAAAAAAAAACAAAGGCAGGATGCCATATTTTTGTTTTGGTTCACTGAGCCTCTTTTGTTTCGCATCTCGCACGACAAGCATTAATTAGTGGAACTCTCGTTTCTTTTCTGAGTCGAAGGTTGCTCTCAAAATTCAGCAACTCTAGTGTAGAAAATTAGACAGCCCGTCCGAGAGGAGGAAATAGTAAAACTTGAGAAAATTAAAATTGCTAGAAGAGACTATCTCGAAGTAGAAGTTTTAGCATTTTTGACTCAGCTCGCATTTAGAAAGGAAATTTGCCGGCCCTTTTGTTGTCGGAAGCAAACATACTTTTTCTTTTTCTCTCCATTTAATTTAACGTTCTCCTCAAAAATGATTGAACCGTCTAGTGTTACGAACATCTCACTTTCAGTAATTAAATGGAGTAATAATAAAAAAAAAAGCCGAGTGCATATGACTGATCTTGTATGTAACGAAAGTGAGCGGATGAAAGCAAAATGCAACTGGAAATCGATATTTTTATCTTTTTTTTTCCCTGATGGTGCCGCGATATGTTCTTGACTCGCGGAGTCGGTCGACAGCCAATGAATGTCAAGGACAACTGCTCGGCACCGCTTTAGCTATGCTGGCGATAAGCTCCGTGTTCCATGTGTCGTGCTTTATCGATTACAACCGTGTCTGATAAGAGCCACTCCACATACACGGGGCTGAAAAAACTGGCAAATACAAGTCTTTTTATGTGTGTGTGTGTGTGTTTAGTGTTGAAATTTTGTTTTTAGACATTTTTTCAGAAGCTCTCTGAATACTCGATAATTAAAGTATCCGTTGCGCGTCTTTATTTCAGTCATATTTTTATGTTTTCTGACGCAATCGTCTCTCACGTTTTTCCCTCTCATTCGGCTGTCTATGTTTGGAAGTAGGCTAGATCTAAAGAACCACGGGCCGTTAATACACTCCCGAACATAGCCGCATGCACGCATATACCCTGTGTTAAGGTTCGGCGCGTCCGCTTTTTGTTAGTTTTCGTTGAGAGCTGAGGAATGCCTCCGCCAAGCCATGGTAAACGCTAGCACCGAATGGATTCCGGTGTATCCTGTTACCTCTCTGCTCTCCGCTGTACCAGCGCCATACGAGAGGAGGAGTCTTGTTTATGTTTGCACTAGGCACTATACTGCCTGTTATTTTATTGCATATACTTGTGGCAAAGAAGCCGAACTTTAGACCTGACGTCAGAGTCATAAACTGAGATGAGCCAAGACGAGCTGATGTTAGATTTAACCAATAGCGTTCGAGGAAAATGAGGTCAGCATCAAGTCTTATCTATGTGCTTTGTTTTCGAAACAAAGAGCTGAGCGAATGCCCGGCTATTTATACCGTAATGTCAAGTTTATTCCCATTAAATGGTCTATATCTTGGCTCTACACTAATAGAGAGTGTGCAAGAGGGCACAAGGCCCAGAAAGAGATTCCCGGAAAATATTTTACAAATTCAGCATCTTATCAGACAGTGCGACAGTGTTATTAGGCAGCTGACTACTGTGATCGATAGGAGCAGCGGCAAAAACTTGAAAATATTTGTCCATGGAGTAGCTATGGCAACTTTGCAACTGCTATGTTACAAAGAGAGGCAATATGACATACAAGGTGACATACGTTTTTCTTGTATTTCATGATGTCTTTTTATAGTCCAGCTTTCCCAGCAAAACGCAAAAATTACAATAAAAAAAGAACCTTGTAAAGCAATTTTTGGAAACGTTGAACTGAAAGCTAATGCTTCTCTGATTCGCTGAGAGATTTAGGTTCTTCGAGTTTTTGAGTATAGTTCCGAAATGCTCCGCTCAAATTATTCTGCCGTCGAAAGTTACCTCTAGAAATATTTTTCGGCAGTGTGCAGACAGGACAGCTTAAACAAACAAGCGAACCGCGCTTTCTGTTTATCATTCTAACGAAGAAGTGAATATACTAGTAGTCATTACCACTGCTGGTTGTCTGGGAAGTGCTCCTCCGTATATTTAACTTTTTGAGAAAGAGTTGATGTAATCGAGCAAAATAGAATTCAAAAACTATTTCCGGTGATGTGTCTGGATTAACTGTGTTCAGCAGGGTTCGTATAAAAATTGTAGCCTGTCTTGTTCATGCCTGAGAAAAGTTTTGTACCTAAATTGCTTATTAACATTCTGCACGCGGAGCCACCAAAATCCGCGAGATTTTGTAAGCCACATGTCACCCGCCAAGCATAGTGGTTATCACGTGATTGGAGATAGTGTAACGCACGTTACGTCATTTCTTTACATTATCCGGGTGTAGACCGAAGTGGGGGAAACCCAGAAACGTATTCGACATAATAATACGTAAATACAAAACTTGTGTTTAACCAACAGCCTCTAGAAAGTAAGGCCCCTTCACCTTCCCTCTCCCACGGCGCCGACGTCACGTACGCCGATCTAGCGTCGGCGCTGGGGAGCTGCTACGCCGTCCGCATCTCTTCCCGCGTGAGCTCCGTTTGGCGTGCCGGGTTTCGTTTGCGTTTCGGAACCACGATGGGTTGCTGTAGTGTCCCAAATTGTCGAGGAAATTATAAGAACGGGCCCAAGGTTCGTACGTTTTCCTTCCCAAAAGATCCGGCTCAGAGAGCCCAAGAGAGCCGATGGTCGAGATAACGTCGACTTTAACACGCAACGGGATCCGCAAGTACGCGATTTCCTTATTCATTCAATACAACTATAATTAATTTCGAATCAGACACTGACGAAGGCTACAAGGAAACAGCTTTTTTAGTTTGATGTACAGACGCAGCGATGTGTTAGAAATGTTTATTGTTCACTGTTATGCTAGTCGACAACCCAAGAATGAAGTATTCTTAAGAAGCTCAGAGCATACATTGCTCTGATTATCACAAAAAAAAACACATACAAATTGGTACATGTGCTTTCATTACTTATCAACTCGAAGAAATAAAAATGACTCAGCCAATGGCTCCCTTGCATAATTTTATAACCCAATG